TTTCCGACAGACCTGTTCTTCACCTGAGGACGGCTGCTTGCGTTGTGGCCGAAACGTCGTGAGAATTGTATTTTATTATGTTTATTTTTATTATTTTATTATCTCCCTTCTACGTGACTTTACCGAAAGAACCAAGAAGATGACTCTAACGATAGTTAACGCAAAAAAAACGCGAGGGCGCTGCATACAGCACGGAGAGCCACACACGCGTCTGAAAATGGAAAGTGATAAATCTGTGACATTTTGATTTTGTTATCGCGGCCTCTTCTCGCTCCAATTAGTGCGGGTGATGTAATACACTCCTGCATTCAGAGTTATACCAATAACCAATTAACAGCGTATATCGTAGGCATTATTTATTGATACAAATGCATTACTTATGAAGGGGTGGAGTGGAGCCACAGTGGTTCGACAACTGTGCAATGCACCAGCCACATGAGTTCGCTTCCAAGCCACAGCTAACGTGAATAAATACTGAATTTATTTTGCACCGTACGTAGCCAACCGTGCCAATCGGAGGTGCGGAATATCAGCGTCGAGTGATTTTTTTCGAACCGGTTCTGGCTTCCCGATGATTTATCAAACCGTAGTGACCAGCGTGGTGAAGTATGGCCAAACAACCTCCACGATTGACACGACTTGTAGCGGGCCTTGTGCCAGCAATGGGTTATTCCTGGGATGAACATTTTCATATTTTTACAAAAAGCACGTCGCCAATATAGGCTCATGTACACTACGGGGGGCAAGTGTCTTGGATTGGGTTTTGTATCCATAGGTGGGAGCATTGCATCGCAGGATCGTGAGATGTGCCGGATGCTTGGGGGGGAGGTGGAGCCTTCCTCCATCCAGCAGTGGACTGAGCATGGCTGACGACGATGATGATGATGATGCGTCTTAAAAACGAACACCGCAGGCACCACACGGATGCAGAATGGGCATGCGTGTATCGACAATCGCAGTGCAAGAACATGCATAGGCCCTGCTTTAATTATGAATACGTAATTGAAAAATACGGTATAATGGGAAAAGAAACCGCATTTCCAATAATAATCGTTCAATGCAATGCATTGCTCGCCTTCTCAGTTGCGAGTTGGATATTGTTTTTTTACTATAATACGCTGGCTGCTATAATTAAATGAAAAAAATAACTGCATTGACCGTTTTTTGTTTTTGTTTATAGTGCCTGGAGCACTCTATACACATCCCTGTGAGAAGTGCTAAGACCACGATAAAATAAAAGAGTCAATTCGCACAGAGACCAGCCATGCGAGGTGGTATTACTTACATCGTAGGATCACGAGAGACGGCCACGGCTTGGAGAGGCCTTCATCCAGCAGTGGATCGATGATGGATAATGACGATGAGGCCAGGGATGATGCGTCACTTAATTAGTGATGACTACGGGCAGGTAGATGGGTCAAGCGCTTCATCAGCATTGCATCCCCGATCGCTGTGTGGTGTGGCCAGTATAGTCTAATGTTACTCCTCAAACATTTAGACAAACGTAGCTCGCTTGCATATGCTGGTTTCACGTTGGCTGGGGGAGGTGAGGAATTGCTAAATGGCAATACATCTTGTTCAAGTATTTTTGAAACAATCCATTCATCGCCGTGCGGGCACGTGGTCGTTGCCCTATTATCGATACGAATATCTAACCGTCCACATTTTATCGACGAATAAAAGTAACTCAAATGTACACCTCTTTGTCAATCCATTGCTGGGCGAAGGCCTGTCCACGTGGTTATCGGTAGTGGAGTTCGTTTGACCATATTTCACCACACCGATCAGTGCGGGTTGGTGACGGGAGGGGGGAGGGTGTTTCCAGGACCACATCAAATGTCACTCATCACGGAAGCAATCACTGAATGAATTACTGAAGGAATGGGGCGAGAGGGGGAGGGCGTGGGGGGGGCGCAGGACTAGTTCGGATATCACTCGCCTCTGATGATATCTGTGTCCAGAAATCAAACTCGGGTTAAGAGTTCAGCAAAGTTAAAAGCTGAAAGTATTCCCATTGAACATTGAAACACTTAATTCTAGATTTGAAGCTTTCGTGACTGCAAGGATTCATATTCTTAGGTTTTTTTCGTGACTTTACCGAAAATTGAAACACTTGTTCGAATCATTAACATCTAATTATTAATGATGATGCAACACAGTTGCAGCGTGAAATGAATAGAATCGCGTATTTGAAGATGATCACGTTCATCGTCAGCCTTCGTCTATCCACTGCTGGACCAAGGCATACACTTGCGTGAACATATCGGCGTTTGAGCCAAAGGCGAGAGCGGGGTGCGAGATAATGATCTCCACGCCGCCGTGATGTATTGCTCCTCGGTCAGGTCTGGGCACGTGGCGGACACGGTCAATTATAGTCCCTCCCAGAGGGATGAAACTTCTAGGGGAAAGATAAAATAAAACAAACATTTATATCCTTCAGCCTTGGAGACCTTGGTTGGCCCCACGGTGTTCTTGCAGGGGGCCCTTGCCCATCACTCCGTGATTATTGTTCAACAGGCCACACGCTGCTGATTAGACTCTGAATATCTAATCCGGTCCCAGAGTCTGCGTGCTTAATAAACAGACGCTGCCGGTAAAGCCTTTGCTCAGATAGTTCATAGGCGAAGAGATAAATCTAATTATTTTATATGAAATACTAACTTAATTTCCCACGATTTTTCTTTCGGGTCGCTGGTACGATTAGAAGTAGGCACGTGACTCGTACGCACAGCCATGGAGATAGGAGACTGGATGCGATTTGTTTCCGCGGTCGCTGACTCGGGCAGACTCGACGCAATTCAAGCCCGATTTATTCAACATTCAAACATCACGAAATATATTGTTGAAATTTCTATGTAAGCTACTGTTTAAGTTTTAAGTTATTTTGATTTTTTACGCGGATGATCCCGTTTAGCCAGTTGACCGGCGATTTTAGAAGAGAAATCCGTGGTGCGTGAGCACAGCAGCAACACAACCAAAAGGCAAAAACATCAATGTTGCACAGAACGAGTAGAGTCCTTAGGAAATATTGCTGATATGGGAAAGTGTATAGTAAAAGTGTATAGTAAAAACATAAATAATTAACTTACTCTTTGTCAATCCACTGCTGAATGAAGGTCTCCCCACACCATATCGGTCATGGGGGTGTACTTGACCATACTTTGCCACGCTGGTCATTGTGGGTTGATATGATGGAGTGCCTAGTTGCAGTTTCAGATATCACTCGCCACTGGTGTTCGCCGTGGCTGGGATTCGGGTACATATCGAAGTGCACGAAACGCGCGCCACCTAGAAGTGTCGGCTGTCGAGTGTGGACCAAATCAAGCAGTAGGTTGTCCGTGTTTATGTATGAAAGTTGAACTTCTTTCGCACCGTACGCAGCCAACCATGCGAATCGGAGGTGCAGGGGAAGGAACATGTAAAGCGTCTGGCGGTGTGCATCTTCCACGAGCATCGGGATGCAAATTCCACATTTCTGGGACCAGTGTCCATTGTACAGACGCTGTTAACTTACCATCCAGTGTTGTACGTACGTCTGTCTTACCGTAAGTAGCCAACCGTGCTGATCTAAGGTGTTGCTACTCAAGTAGACAGGCGTAGTACTGGATTTACTGACCTGGGATAGATGTTGGGCTCACTTGACCCTCACCAAAATGGGAACTCGAAAAATGACATAAGAATGAATAGTAGTGCTAAATTACGTCATAGTTGTGGGAAGAGCGGTCGCGCGGTGACTAGCACCCTGCGCGATGAATCCGGCCACCGAAGTTCAATTCCCGACCACGGCGAACATCAGTGGCAAGTGACAACGGAACCGGTCGCGGACGCCCCGTTCCCGACATGACCACCTCAGCGTGGGGAGACCTTCACCCATAAGCGAATTGACAAAGGGCTAAATATTGTCAACAATTGTTAATAGTAATGATGATGTTACACGGGTATCTCACACATTGTCACCGCCACAGTCAGACACACACCTGATCCCCCAGTGGACTTAATTGTGTCCGTATGTGACGGCACGTGCGTGTGTAAATGTGTAAAAAAAAAAACTTATGCAATCAGCGGCAATGACTGCTCTTGGCACAGGAGATTCACATCTCGCCCGACGTCACGAAGTGTGAGATGCGTCTGGGCGGAGCGGGCTTTGTGTGTGTGTGTGTGTTGCAGGTCTTCCCCAGTGACACACACACATACACCCAGCACCTCTCTCTACGCGTCACGCGTGGGTGGGCGCATCGGGGCGGTTAAAGGAAGGGTAACGGGCACGTGGAAGGGGGCGTGCAGGAGTGCGCAGCTCAGAGAACGCTCTGCGCTCGGGGAGAGAGGAGGCACCACGCGCTTTGTCAGATCCTCCCCGTTCCTCCACCGCCCACCCTCCTACTCCTCTCGCTCCTCCACCGGGGTCATCGCTCTGCCAACACGCGTCCTTGATCTTTTATCCGAGTTCCCAATCCTGCACCTGGATCCTTCCTCGACCTCCGTCTTGGTCCTCCGCTCCGAAACGAGAGACCTGCTGGCTCCGACTTCACCCTGGTCCCGTCTCGTTCCTCCACCGCGGCGAGTCCTGCCTGGCTCCTGCAACTTTGGTCCTTGTCACCTCCTCCACCCGAGGCCCTCGCTTGGTCCACCTGCAATCCTCCTCCTTCTTCTTCTTCCACCCAAGTGCTCGATCTGGGATCAGTGTTCTCGCTCATCCACTAAGGGGTCCCCTCCCTCTTCGCTCCTCCTCCCTCGTCTCGGCTCCGTTCAGCGCGGTGCACATGCCTGCGAGAAGGCGGGGGAGGAGGAGGGGGAGGGGGGCCGACTTTTAAAGGTGGATTTAATAGAAACGTGAATGTCAGTGGGTGATATGCGTCGCTCTGTCGCCATTGCAGAGCACTGCGTGCAATAGACTTAAACGGGTGGGGGGACGCGTTAGTGTTGTAGGGGAAGAGAGAGGGGTGGTTGGTGGTGGGGGTTGGGGGTGGTGGTGGTGGGGGGGTTTGTGGGTGATTGGATGAGAGTGGAGGGGGGAGGCTCGGCCAGTTGCCACTGTTGTGGAGTCGGGCGCTCTGCGTGGCCGCATGTGTGGCCCCAGCGACGCGGACCGGGACCATGCTGATCTGGGCTGCGTTCGTCCTTGTGCACGGGGGCCTCTGTCTTAAGGTGAGAGAGAGAGAGAGCGCGCGAGAGAGAGTCGTCAGGGCCAGGCGCTCGCGAGCCGGGCATCGCGGCTGACGCGTAAACGCAAAACGGCTGACGTTTCGAGGGACGGGTGCTTTCACGGAAAGTCAATTGTGCCGTGGAGTTGGGGCTAGGAGGGCGACACAAAATTCCGTCCGCGATTCCACACCGCTGCCAACGCCTATCGCTGGAGATTGTTCATGGTTTTAGAAGTCACGATTAGTGACATGTGCTCTGTTTCTATTCAATGCGTCATTAATGAGATACGGTGCAAACGCATTTAAGTGGCCGTATTCTGGTGAGTGAAAGCAGCGTTGTATCGGGGGGGGGGGGGGGGGGGAGTTCAACCCCGTGTGTGTGTAACAGCAGCCTGGTGCTGTTTGCAGGACGTAAGGGGACCGAGTGACAATGTCTGACCCCGTTGTTCCACAGACGTCTGACTACGCATCGGGTTAAACGTTCAGAACGGATTTACGACTTCCACTTATGGAAGGAAATGGGACGATACGCTTGAAATTCGTGCGCCTTGATGATTTGATGTACGTGCGCAATATTAATCCCTGCTATAATGAATTGTTAATTTGAGAGTCCACATTTAAGCTCCACCGCCCCTAAAATATTGTACTCTCCTGAATTCTGAGATTAATAGTGTGAATAATTGTGGCTGAAGCGCCTATTCATTGCAAGGGGTCTTCAGACACCGATTTAATTAAGTCAGTGATCCGCTAAACAGTTTGAAGGTTCTATGGTGTGTAATAAACAGCAATAAACACCCAACTCTTGGAGAACACGGTTGATTTGATGCAGTAATGAGCAGTTGTTGCACGCTCGGCGTACGATTGACAATTAAGAGGCAGTAATGTTTACGGCAATGCATCACAGTCTTCTTGAAGAATCGACAACCTTTTCCCCCAACGCGCAGTCGCGTTAAGTGTAGCGCTGCCAAACTGAGATAACTTAATGTCGTTATTTGCTTCTGGCGTCTGCTTTGCCCACGTGACACACGTCTACGTGCGTCCGATTAGCACGGATGGCTACGCACGGTGGCTAAAGAAGTTCAACGCGCGTACAGGAAAACGAGAGTAAAGGAGGCAAACAGCAAACCATGTTGACGGATGCGGCCGCGGCTTGAAGAAAACGTTATTGAGATTGAGTGAAGCTGTCGTAACGGCTACAGAAAGGGAGCCGTGGAGGAAATTGGTCGCTAACGAGCTGATGTAAGGGGGGGGGGGGGGGGTAATGATGATGGCGATGATTCGTGTATGCACTCACATTATGTACACACGTGCCACCCGATAACAATCTATATAAATGCGTGCTTTCGTGCGACCGCGTGCACTGGCCTATAGAGTGATTAACGGGGGACGGGGGGGGGGGAATTCGATTAATTTCAACGCAAAAAATGTAACGTGTCCCTGTGTTGTCACCACTCAAGGCAACGGATGCCGAGGAGCGAAGCGCTGACATGTGCAACACGGTGGAGCGCAATCACGTAAGCGGCGACATCAAAGACTGGATTACGGGCGCGCCGCACAGAACTGCGAGCAATGTGCAAGAGCTGGAGGGCGCGCCGAGTCCCGACGACAGAGGGGGGGAGCGTCCGGACACCGAGGACGACTCCGCGGAGGACGAAAGGGTCGACGACGCCCGCGTCGCGCGAGACAGCTGGTCGTGGCCACCGCAGTCGAGCTGGCGGACCGGCAGGTCGGAGACGCTCTCCCGGACCAAGCGGCGGCCCATCGTCAAGTCGGGCAAGTTCAAGAAGATGTTCGGCTGGGGAGACTTCAACTCCAACATTAAGACGGTGAAGCTCAACCTGCTCATCACGGGCAAGATCGTGGACCACGGCAACGGCACCTTCAGCGTCTACTTTCGGCACAACTCCACCGGCCAGGGGAACGTGTCGCTGAGCTTGGTGCCGCCCTCCAAGTCCGTGGATTTCGAGCCGTCCCCGGTGCAGTCGGCTCTCGTGAACCCCAAGGAGACCAAGTTCAATTGCCACGTGGAGTACGAGAAGACGGAGAAGTCCACGAAGACCGTGCTGTGCATCTACGACCCGTCTCGCGTCTGCTACCAGGAGCAGACGCAGAGCCACGTGTCGTGGCTGTGCGCAAAGCCATTCAGCGTCATCTGCATCTACATCGCTTTCTTCAGCACAGACTACAGACTCGTGCAGAAGGTGTGCCCGGACTACAACTACCACAGCGACTCGCCCTACTACCCGTCTGGCTGACTCTTACGCTGCGTAGCCTGGCCACGTGTAGAGTGTACAAACATGATGATGGTGGTGTGTGTGTGTGTGCAAAGTGTCCCGTCGTACGTTGGTTGTGGGGGCTCATTAATCCCTCGCTTGAGTTTGTGAATGTCTTGTGTATGGATGTGCTATGGAGATTAATATCGCACAGGGACACGTGTGTGTGTATGCATCTATAGACTTACTCGAGTTAATGTTGAACATTCCTAACAGCACACCGTGATTTTATTCTGGTGTTATGTAAACGTTTTCGGTAAACGTTTGCGTAACATTGATTTAAAAATTGTGTACATTTTGCTGAACGTGTATTTACGTCCACCTGTCGAGAAAAAAATGAATTATTGTTTGTCAAATTGGGGTTACCCCTCCCCCTAATCCTTCACTGATTAAAGACGACTCCATGCCACCCTTGTTCGTTATATCCGTGCGAGTTGGATACTTTTCCTGGCCTCGCGGAAAATACATATTCTCCACGCGTTAACGCCATATACGGAACATTCATGTCGACAGTGTCAACAATAACAACACACGAGTGATCTTTCTTAAATGTGCCACTCATCAGCGTTCATTGTTGGGTCTTTACACACGGCAATAATCCTATTTCTAGCCCGAGCTGGTAACGCAATTCACACGTTCTGTGTTGCTGCAGAAATCAGGGCTGTTTCACGGATTGTTTCTCCCCCCCCCCCCCCACACACACAGCAGTACATGCGGTGCCAGAGATAAACGCTTCACCCCCAACTCTGCCAGTGCTCCTGAAGCCCGTCTGTGCAGAGGCAGACATCGTCCACGCGCGCGCCTCACCTACAGTAGAAGCGTGCCCATCGTGAACGAGAAGTCCCAGTATCATCATAATCCATTGTCCGTCCACTGCTCGATGAAGGCCTCGCTAGGCCGTCGCATTGCCTCGTGGTCCAGTGACGCCACAATTCATCGCGCTCGTGCATTAAACTGATCTGGCCACGAGTCGCGGTCATCATCATCCTCTCTGTCACGTGCTCTCATTCCCCTTAGCTTGCATTCCATTGCAAATCTTGTCAATCGCCCATCATCACTTGTGGGGATGTTTTCTTCTCGGCACATTCACTTTTTGATGAGTGGCAGAATATCAAAAACCAAACTTGAATACATTTAAAGCGTACGTGAAACAGAGTGCAGGCGATGCATTCGTACCCCAACAATGCGCTGCTCCGCGTGTGTGTGTTTAGCACTCTCGAAAGTGGTCATGCATATATTGATAAATGTAGATATGTGGTCATTCAAAAGGGTCATCTTCCCTCTGAAATCAAAAGACGTGTGGTCTCGAAGAAAGCGATCAGTTTCCACCCTGCTCTGTTTCTCCAAAAGGAGAGCGATCACAGTAGCCGTGTGCTCCCTTAATCCATGCCACAGTGTCCCATTTCCCGGACAGGTTGATTTGAGGACGGCAGTGCAATTACGATGGGACGTGTGATGGTCGCATCAGAATCGCTTTGAAACGAAACGCTGCAAAATTACTCCTTGAGGCACCCAAACAAAAAGGAACGGAAATTGCAATGTGATAAGCAAATTCGGCAAGGGAAAAATGCATGGAGAACATTTCAGTGCTTTGTCGTGAAAGGTTGAAGTCATATTTACGTGCCAGTATGTTCTTCATTATTTGCGTGAATGTTTGAAAATGTACATTCTGTGAATGCACGCGATATTATCTGTTTGAGCATTTTCATCGATTGCCACCATCTCACCGTGAATTTAAACACGCGCATTTATATGACCACTGATCGGCATCGGCTCTTTCCACAACGTCTTCGTGCGAGTCGCAACAGTTGGTGGCAACAGTTGGTCGCTCATTGAGATTCACAACCCACCGTGACACTTTTCCATCGCTTAAACACAGTCGTGTATAAATTTCGATTTAAAGCTTTCGTGACTGCAGGGGTTCATCTTCTTGGTTCTTTCGGTAAAGTCACTTAGAAGGAAAATAATAAAATACTAAAAATAAAACATCATAAAACTATTCTCACGACGTTTCGGCCACAACGCAAGCAGCCGTCCTCAGGTGGAAAACAGGTCTGTCAAGTAGACATTCAGACTCTGTCTACTTGACAGAATCTACATTCAGACTCTGTCTACTTGACAGACCTGTTCTCCACCTGAGGACGTCTGCTTGCGTTTTGGTCGAGACGTCGTGAGAATTATTTTATTATGTTTTATTTTTATTATTTTATTATTTTCCTTCTACGTGACTTTACCGAAAGAACCAAGAAGACAGTCGTGCATAGTTGTTGTTATTATTATTATTGTATGAGCATTCATAAAAAATATTATTATTGTATGAGCATTCATAAAATAATCATGTACAGACCTTTGTCGATCTACTATTGAACGTGCTGATACGACGTGGCCTCTCCATGTCGTATCTGTCATGGGGGTGTTTGACCATACTTCACCACGTTCGTTAGTGCGGGTTGATGAAGTGGGGGGGGGGCTGCCCAGGGCCCATTCAGATATAACTCGACACTGATGGCCAGAATTCGAGCGCAGGTACCGAGTTCATAGCTCACCACTGCGTCACTGATGTGCATGCCAATCAGCCGGATTAATAGATATATTAAACAGCTAATAACACGCAAGCTGTAATGGGATAGGCGTTTTTTCAGTAAAACAATGCGTTATACATCATTGTAAGCATCGATAATTCTTAACTTAAAGCTTTCGTGACTGCAGAAATTCATATTCTTTTGGGTCTTTCGGTAAAGTCACGTAGATAGGTTAATTTTTTGTTATTTTCTTTGAACCTATCTACGTGACTTTTACCGAAAGCATCGATAATCTCCATCTTTTGTCATCCGACAATTATCTGCTCTTCAATCGTGACCACAAGCCAGTGATGTACAAATGTCAACGGAAATCACGAGGCCGCTTCACAGGGAATACGAACCCTCTACAATTCCTATTCTGTAAGAGTAAAATATATCGTTGTTAACGTGACGAACCAATCACGTGTCGTTGATATATGGATATATAAAACTGGTTCTTGCCACTGAAACGTGGAATTACCATCACTGGCTCATGTCTGGACCACCACAATAAACGAGCCCGATGATGCTTGTATGCTTGCAAGGATAACGACTTTGGGCACGAAGATAGACGCGCATTTACGTTGCAACCCTTTGTACAGGAAAGCCTCACCGAGTATCAAGACATTTCAGGAGGGTCCTGCATGCATGGCCAGATCAGTGCGTGGCTTATTGGATCTATACAGGGGGAAATGTGTATGCAGGCCCGAGTTTCATACATTGTTATTCAATCTGATATAATGCCAAAAATGAATGCGTTACATTCATTCGGTTGAATAATTACGATATATAGGCGAAGTTTAAGATTAAGACTAACAATCAATCGGTTCCCAAGCGCCTTTTTGTGTATTTAGCACTCAAACAACGTGGCCGTCCTTCTCACACTCAGAGCGAAAATAAATAGCTACATTTCCGTGGTGTTATGATTAGAACACTGGAATTTGTGCAATCCGGTCGCCAGTTCGATCTCTTGGCGCTGCGGTTGAAATGTTATGCATGTTTCTTACACCGCTCGCCTCTGTCTACCCAGCCTGTAACTTCCCAATGCGAAACAATGCCTCTTCCTTCCTAACACATTTGCCAAGAATACTTCCTTAAAAAGAAAAGTCATATATTGGGCGATATTTCTGCCAATGGCCTTTCTTCATAGCACATCATTGACGCACCATCTGTGCGCAATATTGAGCAAAGGTTCATAATTACTCTTGGAGTGTGAGATCCATACGGGAAAAAAGTCATCCTGTGAAAAATTGAAAGTTATGTAAACGCATGCCCCCAGTTTCTGGCTCATGAACACGGACAAATTCGACCGCACAATCGGTGCAACTGGAGGGCACACGACGCATCATTCAGCGTGTCCATGAAGGTATCATCCATCACTAAAGGGTTCTATATAATGAGACAGACGTTTGAACTGCGTGGTTGAAATTCTTTTTTTTAAACCGCGTAAAGATTGAGTGATCTTTAAACAACACATAGGAGGAGCATTTGAACTAATCGCGCTCACAAATGTTGGCGAGCATGTGGGACTCTCTCGAATCTCGACGCGATGTGGGTCGTCAACGTCACGGCAGACACGTGGAGATTTCGAGCGTTTCCAGAAAACACGGAACGTTGGACCAACGTTGGGCCAAACGTTCCAACTACATGCAAATGTTGGTACAACGTTGGTTACTGGGATAATACTCATGGTACAATTTTCTTGTTACTGTGTGTGTGCCTGTGCATTGTTTGAATGACATAGGTCAAATTGTTGTCCAATTATAATTCCAAATTAATGGATGCAACATTTATGGATACTCTGTACAATACAATACTTCTTGCACTTAGGGTATTTAGCGTACACATGCAACTGCATCTCAAGGCACACTCAGCACGTATCTGTGAGGCTCGTGCTAGGATGTGGGCTTGAGCTGCTGCTCGAGTTGTCACAGCGATGGAGAAACGAAGAGCACGCAGATCCGACACGCCCGGCGACGTCATTTCATACGGGCGGTGTCCACACAAAATTCAACCTGATTTTGTTTAACCAGATGAGAGCTCGAGAGACCAGCATCGTCTCACTTTACATGAGGTCTACCATGACTTCGAAACGGTCCGTTAACGAAATGTATCCGTCACTGCCAGCATATTCATCGCACTATGAGAGGGACAAAACAGACTTTCGCATTGGCAACTCTCTAAGTTCGAAAAACAGCGGGCTCTAATTATATTTCGCGTTGTTGTTTGATGAAGCTAAGGTGTATGTGTGTATGTGTGCGTTAATGTGTGGCCCTCCGAAGACTCGCGAAGGACGCTACTGGGCAGTTGGAGGCAGTCGCCTTTCAACCAAAACGGAGGTCAGAGGAGCGATGCTCACAACAATGAGCGGAGCACCGGACGGATAAAATAGAGCAAGCTGGCACTGTAGGGAGCACAGCTGGTGCATCTGCAAGTCATCTCAGTCAGTCAACCTATGGCACCTGGGTCTGTCCCGTGACCTTCTGTCAGCAAGACTCCGACACTTCACGTGGCCTCAAAGTGCACCTGGCCTGGTACAAGCACCGTGGTGACGTCACCACCACTTAGGGGTCGAATGGCGTCTGTGGTTGGTTGGCCCTCCGAAGGAATGTGAAAGTCCTCTTCGGCCATCTGTAAGGAGAAAATAATTCCTCAACGCTGGGCAATAGGGTCTCTAACGCAGCCATCGTTGCCATGGGTCGCTCCACGACACACCACCCAGGTGTTTTCATTACAGCGCCAATGAAGCCGGGAGGCCTGGGCAAGGGCGTATCTCATCTCCGACTGAGCCGCCGCATTTGCCGTGCCATGAAGTGACTTTGTACGAACGCACGTGCGCTCCTTATTCCAATTTAATAGCGAAACGATGCTAAACATCTCTGCGGCATATACGATATTTGCTCGTGGGAATGTGCTCCGTGAAATGCGATCTTATCATCTTAGAGGAGGGAGAGCAACCCAAACTCGATCTGTGTGCCAAAACCATACATCGCTTAGAGAAAAAAAAAGGCTGCTCAAGCCTCACCCCTTGCGAATGACCGCGTGAGATTTTTTTCGCGTTTACAAACCTTCACCCTGAGATTGATGATTTATGAGGCGCTGAAGTTCCAATGTGATATTTGTGTTAAAACCCTTAACCACAAAAGTGTCTTGGGATGCTTCGATGTGTATACCCTCTCATTCGCCACGCCGGTCAGTGCGGGTTGGTGACGGAGCCGTGGGTCCTTTGCCGAATCAGAGAGCACTCGCCAAGGGTATTATTGGCCGTGCCTGGGAATCAAAATCTGGTCACCGGGTGTCATAGCGCAATAACGACTCCTCCACCGCTACAAATAACCCGTTATTTCTATTGCGAGTTTAATCGCATCATTGTCTCCGTTTAAACACAAACTGAAAGTGCGTACACCTTGCGAAAACCAGATGCTGGGTAAACACGGAAGGCCCGCACAGTGGTGGATGTATGGATGTTAAAACTTCGTTTGCACCGTACGTAGCCAGCCGTGCTAATTGGAGGTGTGGGGGAAGGACAGCAAACTAAACACAAAATTAGTTATAAACAAATTGGGTTTCAATCTACATTTAAAAGGACATAACTCCAATAGCTTCCTAATATCGGAAAGCAGAGCGTTCCAGACGGCCGCGGAAGCGCATCTGAAAGCGCGCGATGCAGTGGTTCACCGTGATACACCCAGCCCTGCAAGAAACCACGGCAGTGATGAAGCGTCGCTGGCAATGGACCCCGGTGCAAATAATGGAATAGAGCCTCATGTCCAATCCCCACCACCACCACCACATCTTTGTAGCCAGGCGCCTGCTGTGCCCGTCTGGTGCAGTTGCATCGCATGCACCCTCGAGACCTTCGCCACCGCCCCCACAGCGAGGACGCCTCGCATCAATCGACCACGCAGCTCAGCGTGCGTGTCTGAGTACGGAGCGTGAAACCGCGTCAATGGGGCCGCCAGAGGTAGAGCGTGCAGGCCACTTAATCCCGAAAACGAGTTGCTCCATCCCCAAATCAATATCCCGGACCCAGCGCCGAGTTGCGCGGCGCGGTCGCAGCTGCGCTCTGGAATGCAGCCCGCCCTGTCGGCTTGCGCTGCAGTGTCATCTTCTTCTCCCCCCTCGGAGCTGAGCACGACCCCGTGTTCGTCGTGATCCCACCCACCTATCCACATCTCCCGCCCCCTCCCCCCTCCCCCCTCACCCCACCCAGCTCTCAATTGCTCTTTTTGTCCGCTCCGGTCACTGCTCCCACCGCTCTCGGGAGCAACTGCGCTCCGCGTGTGCCTCGTTCGCTGAGAGCTCCTCTTCCTCGCGACGATGGGACACGGCGCGCGCCGCTGCAGGGCTCAGGTCGCGGTGGTGGCCGCGCTGACGCTGATGTGGCTGGCGCCGCTAATTAAAGGTACGCGGACCTGGAGGGCGGTGATGTGAAGTTGAGCGGAGTGGAGGGGTTTGGTGCCGTTCGGGGATGGGTGGGCGCAGTGTTGCCATCGTAACGATTCTGTCGCTATATCCAACGATTCATTTGGTTCCCTGCGTAACAATCTGACCTGTAAAAGCCACTACGTCTATGTGTGTGCTTTATTTGTTGCAGGGATGATCTCGTTGAGGCAGTTACCATGGCGTTTTACAAAGTAGACGCGTGGTGCGTGAGCACAGAAATAACAAAACAAAGGCAAAATACATCAATATTGAAGAACACGAGTTCAGGGTCCCCCTAGAATATCGTGCAACTAACAAACTAGGTATTTAAAGTAACACAGGTGTAAATAAACAATGCGCGTGTAATATAAGAGCAAGAGGCGCCGGGAAAAAAGTTACGGACATTGTCAAGTAAGCTTGCAAAGTAAGCGGATTTCTAGGACAAGGGCATTTCCCGCACCTCCGACTCGCGCGTTTGGCTACGTACGGTGCGAAATAAGTTCAACATAATACATTATGTAGCTTTGGGAGCGGTTCTAGGATTGTATTAAGGATGCTTCATCACTTACTATGTTTAATACAGTACTTGGGAATGTGTATATTGTCACAATTGCAGGTATTATATGTTGAACTTCTTTCGTACCGTACTTAGCCAACCGCGCTAAAGGTATGTGATGAGGGCGTGATAAGAACCCTGCATGCGTTTACTCGGTTTTAATGATACGACTCCAGGTGAGTATGAAGAATCACGTAACAAGCTATGTGTACTTTCATAATAAAGGTTTTTGGGTTACATCGCTATATTTGCAATTCTAAATGCTGTGGATTCACTCTTCAAACACACCGGTGGGCTGAAGAATCAACTTATTGGAGTTTTGTTAACGTGACACATTTTTTACTGGTTGGCCGTGTCGGGTAGTGGAGGATTGCGACACATTTCTACTTACGCGATTTATATACTGGTCGCGAAAGCCCACCACGTGTCACGTGTCCTTTGTTTAATAGGTCGTATATTGTCTCGTGACCCTTGTCACGACCTTCTGATCTGCCCCTCCTAGACATCTGTGAAAAAAGAGCGTCATAGCTATAATCGGATTCCTCCGGTTCAAATTAATATTCTGATTCTTACTTTAGTCGTCCTATCGAGCGAATCGCCACTCGCAGGAGTTGGCAACGCCTGGAGGGGAAGGGGGGTGTGGGAAGAAGCGATGGAAGTTGGAGTTGGTGGTTGGGCCGAGCTGTTGGTTGTTGTATCGCGACGCGGCACAGACGGCACTTGTGCCAATGCCAAAAGCGGTGATACATTAAACCTTCTTGATTTCCAGAGGGACGCCCCTGCGGATTCGTGTGGCGTAAATAACGCGGTCAGTTTACTCGTTACCGCTAGGGAGTGGGTGCTTGGGCTTGTGAGCGCGCACCTGTAGCAGCATCGCTGTTACACGTGGACTGCCGTGTGCATTTTATAGTCACGAAAAAAAATACTAGTGAAATTTCACAGCCACGTCCCCCTCCTCGTACCCCTTCCGCACCGCCCTCAAGCAAAAATTAAGTTTCCATTTGAACTCCAAAGACAAATATCCCCCGTATAGGCGGAACAAACTGTCGGGGCAAGTGCTGATATCGAGCACCTATGAAGGTCGGCACGACGCCATGAAGGGGTGGGTGGCCAGCACCACGCCCGGTCGCATTTTTCTCCGCAGTGGCGATGTTTACACACCGCAACAGATACTCATTTGAGGCCGAGTCGACAATGACACGCGTGCACACATACAAAGACAAAGATCCACCGTATAGCCTGAACAGACTGTTGGGGCAAGTGCTGTTAGCGAGCACCTATACATAACACACATACTCGGACACATGCACATTACACCGTTAAAAACGCGACAGGACGGGCAGCTTACGATTACTGTATATGGATGTACGAAGCACTTTCGCCTTAACTTGAGAGGAACCTCAATATTACACCGGGAATTGCGGAACCTATCTGGAACATTGAGGAATCTCAATATTGATGAATCTCAATATTACTCAATCTCAATATTACTCGATCTCGATCAACACCAATCTGCGAACATTGAGGAATGTCAATATTACTCAATCTCATTATTACTCAATCGCAATATTTCAATATTACTCAATCTCAATATTGAAAAACCTCAATATTACGTCGGCAATTGCAGAACCAATCTGGAACAGCCCTGATGGACGACTGCAGGGCTCGATGCGTCTGTCATTCTCTTTGGGTGTACGGGTGGAGGTCTCTGCGTGAGTTCAAGGGAGGAGTGTGGTTCACAGTACCCTGTTCAGGGTCCGGGTGTGCGTGGGTTTTTATTTTCTCAAAATGCGTTGCTCTGAATTTTCAATTGTCCAGACGCCTATTTTGACATGGGGGCGCTGTGTACGGTATGTTGCATATGCTAGGTGGTGACGCAGTGGTTTGTACACTGTGCTATCAAGCCAGCGAACCAGATTTCGATTCCTGGTCTCATTTAACATCAGTGACGAGTGCTACATGACCCGCCCCCTCATCCCCACCCTTCACTATCCCGCACCTACCAGTGTGGTGAAGTATTGTAAAACTGCAATCCCAGTAACAAGCACGACGTGGAGTGAGGCCTTCCTCCAACATCGCTTTGATTTGCTATTATTTACATCAGGCCACCTTATGAGTCACGGAAATTACATAAAACAAAGTAAGGTACTTAAATGACATTTAACTGAGATTACATTGAAATATGGTGTGCAGCACTTGAGTGCATACACATCGAATACACTTTTTTTCTTTCAAACGCCCCACTTGATATGTTAAAACGACAAACTACCACAGACTTTAAGGGTGCGCATACAAATCTTTAATTCAATTGTAAATAGCGCATTTGCTATACATAGGTGTGAATTATACACACATACAACGCGTTTTTATTTTCAATCTACTGCTGGATGATCGCCTCACCACGCCTTGGGGATCGTGAGGGATATATGACCATACTTCACCATTCCGGTCAGTCTGGGTCGGTTGAAGGTGAGGTCGCGGGTAGGAGTGGAGGAATCAAGAACTAGAGTGGATTTTTCAGCACAGCCCTCTACGCCTGTCTTCTTAGGCATGGCAGGCACCCATCCAAAACACTATCCATGTTCAAATCTTGCTCAGCTTCGGGGATCTATTTCGTTCTAGGCGACTTTCATTTTCACCTCCCCAATGCGCATCAGCGTTCAGATTGCATTGCCACTGTGAATCGTGTATAGCTTGCGTGCACGGAGCAGCACTATTATTTGAAAGATTGCCAAGTAGCTGTCACTGTCGCAGCCTTTAGGCATTAAGAGATAAGGCTTACCCAGTGCGCGGCTATCATATGTACCTTCTTGACCCGTGGAAGAACAAAGTACAGCACTGCAGTTGAGTATAGCTATCATTCAAGTGAGGGATTCAATTCCCACTTGATATTTTCCGGGTCGCTGCTAGACTCGTGGAGTTGGCACGTGACTGACTAATTAGGCACGGCCACACCGAGAGGTATACTGGATGTGGAATGCCGAGTACCGGGAAAATTGACAGTGTTATCGTTTCAGAGTCCCAGACAGACCCGGCTGAAAATTAAGCCCCACTGCAAATATAATTTAATTAAATGGTGAAGAAAAGGCCCTCTGACAATTGTTTGTCGTACACTGACTACGATATATATTTTTAAGTTACTGTACTTCATGCTCTGAAGAAATGTGTTTCCTGCGTCAATTCTACAACAAAAAAACTCTATCTCAAAATCACCACACCTGGTATGATAACTGCGATGATGACATTTCATCAGATAAGTCTATCCCTCAACAGTCAATTTGATGCTAAAAAAGATCGCCTTCGCTGATGAAAGGGGTGGTGACCGGTGGTCAAGACGAACGTCAGAGGGGCAGCCACAAGAGAAATGCACGCGAGAGGATGCCGACCGCTGAGATGGGGTGATGAATTCAGCTTGGATGGATTGTTCCTTAGATAAATCGCAGGACCGTGTGAGACAGCAACGGCTTGGGTAGGCTTTCATCCAGCAGTGGAACGATCATGGCTGATGATGACTTTGGTTCGTCATCACCACCTATGAAACCGATTACATGATTCTATGCCATTTAAATTTCTGGTCAAATCAGGACAAGCACATTATCATGCCATCCATCTCACCAAGGTCTCCCTATCTGCGTTATTGGCCTCATTTTATCTCTCCTTCCCTTTGGGTTGTGCCACGTGGTTATCTGAAATGAACATGGGGGCCCTCTCTCATCGATCGTTCGGGAGACATTTCGAGTTAAACTCGGATTTACTTTGGCCTCAATTATAAGCAAAATCAAACTTCTTACATAAAGACACCCTTCGTAGCAGCAGCAGCACCTTCCCAGAAATAACTAGAATGAAAGTTGCAATGATTGACACCTGCCTTATTTTGGCATGAATGTACCTGCATTGGAAATATGAAAAGGCATGGTATAAACACACACACAAATATCCACCGTGAAACTTCAATAATAAAGTGTGCAACGTATAATGAATAGTATGTTACACCGCGGGGAATTGTGATGCTCAGTGTTTTATATTTGGATGTTTTTTTCTCCTTCCTGTTTTTTTTTTCATTTTCCATCTGGAACATACTCCCGGTCTCGCAAGAGCGCCGTTGTTGTTAAAATATGATGGAGCCAAGTTTTGGCATTGCCCGTCAACCAGACATCACACTCGGCAGGGCAATCCGTGGCTACGGAGCTCAGAGAAATGGCTTGTCAATCATTAGGTTACAACAAGGAACGATTGTGAAACTTCAAAACCATGACAAAAAAAACCCAATCCATTCACTCTGCAGTTCTGTTTTGAAAACTACAAAAAGACACACGACTTCTTTTATGCTGGGAAAAAAAACTGAAGAAAAAAATTCCACCGTGAAGAAAGCATTTTTTGAGCCGCTGCACTATAAACAGCAGCCACGGTCTTTAAAAAAACAC